ATTTATTATTATTATTATTATTATAATGTTGTTCTTCTTGAAATACAAACTGTACCAACACCTATGTAATACATACAGACTCTACAGGAACTTTATAAATTTTCTTTTTTGTGAAGTGATATTTTTCTAAACTGCAAATTACAACTGCTGTTCAGTCTGTCATATCAGAAAATACATTCCATGTTTCTCACTCTTGAAAGACAAAACTCTTTCCTCAAACAATTAGTTCAAAGTTTTTCCTATTTTTCATGATGTTTCAATTTGAAGCTCTACCTCTGATCACAGAAGAACTACACCAGAGGGGAGCTCTAACTCTATATCCAAATATATAGACAATATAACAATATATCCAAACGGAGCTCTATATCTATATCCAAAATCCGGTGGAGCAGTATTTGAGTGAGATGTGTGATATGGAAACATAGAATTTTTAGTAAACAAAATGGAAAAAGAAATCTGACCACCATTTGCTCACATAAGAATAATTAATGTTAGTAACACTTACCGAACTAATATTATGCTGATTTTTCTTTACTCTTTCAATCTCAGGAGTCTCTTTTACAGCTGTGCCAGCTCCTACTTCCTTCTTATAAAACACCTTAATTTCCCCAAAAGAAAAAGTAATTATGAGACTGTTAGCAATGCAAGTACAAGTTCCCATAAATGGGCTCGGCAATTTTCCAAGTTCCAAATTAGTCTGACTATAAATCTTGCTATGAAAGCTAATACTTTAATTTTTCATAAATCAGACCAATTACCAATAACTATAATAAGATTCTGTTTGTTTTCAACTGTAACCCAGATAATCTATTATCATCCTTCAGACTGACCTCAAACATTTGTAAGTATTTGTAATGATGGTTTTAACTTTGTAAATAATATTTAGATCATAATCTATAAACTTTTACAAATGCAACTTTGTGCTTGAGTAATCTCACTCATTTCAATGTAATTGAACGTGTATATACATGCAAGATTTGAATTGGGTTTTTAATCTTCAGATCTTAAAATACTCTGAGAAGTGAACAGATATTATTACTTCTAATTTAACAAACTGGAAAATTGACATATTCATGACAAAATAACCAGAACAGCCAGAGCTACAATCCAAGTCACGTACTTTTTTTATTTCTGGGTTCCAGCCAGAAAGCTGAGGACTGCATCTAAAAACAAAGCTCACTTCTGAAAAGATACACATGCCGTCTATAATTCTCCTCTTTATTTCAATTGTTTCGGTAAAGGATAAAACAACAAAGCACATCAGTAGAATCAATCATTCAAAGTTACTGAAAGAGACAGTAAATAAGTGCTCCACAAATTCCAAATGTGGCTATAATTTAAACAACCATGGAGCACAAGTTCACCCTGCAAAACTCCCAAAGAAGTTTTATTTTAATTTCAGTATTTGGTGTCACAACTGTTGCCATTTCAGTAAGTATTTCCAGGCTGGTAGAGTAAAAACAAGTCTGATCCTGGAGTTCATAAAATAAATCTTTAACATTTAGTATTTCTGCCCGTCTTAAACCAAGATTTATTTAGCATTATTTTTTCCTATCAAGATAAGTTAAACAATAAACAATAATTCTGGATGCATTTCTCCTACTCTCTTTAAGTCCTCTGTAACCTAGGGTGACCAGTACTGTCAAATATTCTAGAGGAGAGTGAATTATTGATGTCCACCACTCATTTTCTAAATAATCAGAAAATGTTTAGCAACTTAGAATTTTGTTTTACCATGTGAGAACAGAGGCAATTTATGAGTAAGAACTTGAAAATTCTTCTGCACAAACATGTCAGTAAAAGGTAGAAAGATTTACACAGTGGACTGAACTAAAATATACTTTTCTTCTCTACCAAGGAGGGAGTGGTAAAAAATGTTGGAGCTGTGAATTTTTCTATGAAAGAGATGGCTATGCAGTAAATATTCTATTGTAAATCATCTGCCAAATGAGCAAGTGAGATAAAAGCAGCACTGATCTTATCTGCAGAGCTAGCCATGGTTTTTGTCCCTTAAGGTAGGAAAATACTAGAGATGAAATCCAAAAATTGGAAGCCTATTAGGGGTCATTAATTTTTTTTATATTGCGGCTGCCCCCAGCTATATTTTAACTTAGTAAAAAGTAACTTACCTTTTTAATCTAAATTGCACTGAATGCTGAATGTAGAGAAAGAAAAATACGATAATTCAATCACAGCTATAAGCTGCTTTCCTACATTTGGAGGATCCAGTTCAGAAACAGAAAAGCACCTCAAAGACAAAATATTTTTATTTCGCATTATCTAGTAGGCTAACAAAGAGGATATCTGTCAGCCTTGGCACTGAAAGCTCAGAGTGGCCTATAGGGCTGCAAGGGGTTCAGATCTGTCAGAGGCTTGTTAAGGCTTAATTAAGTAGAGGAAGGTTATTACGTGCCTGGTATCTAACCATTAGAGGGTCCGACCCACTGACCTATTTGAGGACTTCATCAAAAGCTATCAAAGACTAGAGCACAGAGAAAAGCAGATCAGCAGAGGCCAGCTTGGATCCCCCTCTGTCACACAGAGTTTCAGCGTAGCATGTTAGGATGACACTGGCATGAGATACAGTGCTGATCACTGTCACACCGTGCAGCAGAGCACCATTCAAAACCAAAAGATTACAAGTAATAAAATTGGGGCCAGTGGGCCTGTCAACACCTCCTATGAGAAAGATGGAGCTTTCAGCTGCCCTCATCTGAAAGAAGAAAAGGAGCAGGTAATGGCTGGAAGATGGTACAGGAGAGACCACTGCCTAGAGCAGCCTCAGGGACTTTTCTTCTCCCCTCTCCCTGCAGGCTCTCACTCCCCCAATGAAGCCTCAGTGACACGGGATAGCAGCAGGTAAACACCTCTGAGGAAAACTAATTGACTTTGTACCCACGTGGAGCTGGAGAAGGTGAGAAAATCTCTAAGAAAGAACCACATTTGTCAGATAATACTAAAATATTAAGTAACTTATACTCCTTTCTCTCAAATCATTTGCTCTATTAGTATTACTTAGTCTGCCATAAAACCAGACACTAACTGGACAGTCTTTGGTTCCAGAGGCTATACTTACTCCCCCTCTTCTCTCCTGTTATATTACAAGCAAAGCTAGAATTACAAACAGCAGAATTAATGGGCCCAAAAAGGAAATGGAACTGAATGCATCACAAGCTGGGCAATTTTAGAAATCTAAGCTCAAAATTTATATTTAGTGATAAACTGAGACTTAAATCTATCATAAAATTAAATAATATATCCAGTATAACATAAAATCATTAGCCCTATATATTTATGAAACCTGTGCTGTTCCAATTTTATACCCGAATCTTGATGTTCTGTACATATGATCGGAAACAGATGAAAAACCTGATCCTACACAGTAACAAGCCTTAGATTTTTCTGTCCTTTTAAATAAAGTACTTCCTGGGGCTTAATGGAAAAAGGAAAAAAAAAATCTTCATTTAAAAATAACTGTGCTTTGGCAAGGTGGTATAAGTGGCTTAGCAATTCCAAGTAACAATGTCACACCTAGAAAAGCCGGGTATTTTTTAACTGAAAGAAATGAGTGATACAGCTTTTGCTACGAAAATTATGCAAATGATTCACAGGACACTTACTCATAAGTTCTCTATTTCATGCTGTGGCACAAGAGAGCCCATTTAAACTGAAAAATATCTGTAAAGTTGCAAGCAAAGAGAGAAGCACTATTACTCACTGAACTGATGTTTTTCTGAGTACTCTTTATCCTCTCCATCTCTGGAGTGTCTGGGACAGCAGAATAGTTACAGAGCATCTTCTCTGCTTCACCTTTGTACATTTTCTGAAAAAAATACTTTTAAATGTCTATTTCCTGCTTTCTTGGGCTCAGAATATCCAAACTGTAACAAAAGAGGCTTATTACTGATGAGCCTCAACATCCTTGTACGGTATTTATTTCTACTTCTCTCCTCCATGATACTGGTATCACTGTCTGTGTGGAACATCTGATACCGTGTCCCACACTGAAAATATATAATATATACAAAATGTATTCTCATGTGCATTATATATTTTCCCTTCACTGACAGGATATGTATATATCTTTCTCGTTAGGTAATGTAAAAAGACCTGCAAGTAGATATAAACAGTAAAATTCAATTTACATGGCATGACACACCTAAATACAAATAAGAATCAGGAAGTAAGATCTTTTGCTACATGCAAATTAATTTAATGAGTACGAGAGCCTCTACAGAGCTGGAGAAGAAGTATTTTGAGCAACATATGTCACGCACTCATTGTTACACAGAACTAAAACATTCAGCCTTTGAATTCTATCTACCTGGCTTGCTATTTCTGAAGCCCTTTTGACACGTTGTATTTCAGGAGTATATGGGCCAACTTGCATCCCTTTTCCTATAATTTCAGTCTCCAAATCCTTTTTGTATTCTTTCTGAAGGAAAAACAAAGAAAAAAAAACCATACTAATTTTACAGTTATTTGTACATGCTTTCTTCAAAGCTATTCTGACCTCACTGGTCAGAAATTCTTCAATTTCTTTAATTTTTTTATTGTGCACTGCTTGTTCCTTTTAGCCTAAGTATATACAAGAAGATTTTATGGTTTTAACATCTCATTGTATTTTATTTCCAAATAGTCTTAAGAGATTCGTTCTGTACTCACCTGGCTTACAATTTCAGAAGCTTTTTTGGCTCGTTGTATATCAGGGGTATCCATACCCACTCCCATTCCCTTCCCTTTAATTTCATTCTCCAAGTCTTTCTTGTATTCTTTCTGAAAAGAATAGCATTGGAAACACTCACACCTGACAGTCAAATTCTTAAATTGTTCCTACTTTAATCTGCAATTCCACTGAATAGCAGTCTTAAAACACCAAATAAGCTTTGATTCAACAGCCTTAACCTTTTAGGATCTATCTATGAGACAACTATGCCACAGCTGTTGATCAGTTAAAAAATTATTTTAACAGCCTGCTTACTTCAAATCTGATGTAGCCTTTCGCATCTACCTGTCTTCGCAGCTTTGGCAGCCGCAATCACAGACACATGTCACGAGACTTTCTCCCTCAGTGGTGCTTTGCAAGACTGGGGTCATAAGGCTTTAAAATCTCTCTGTTTATTATTTGGCTCTAACTAAACGAGCAGCTATTTAGGCCAAAAAGCAGTAGGGCCTTCATCTACTGAATACAGCCCAGGCCAGGTGTGCTTCATGAGGAACAAGCTCCACCTTCAAAAGATGACAGAAAGGTCAAAGTTCTGGGAAGACTTAACTTTCCCCCATATGCCAATTATGCAACTTTCAGACTCTGCAGCTCAACGGATTGGGTATTTGGTGAAATCTGTGGTATTGCTACTGCCCAGACTGGTCACCACCTGGAATTCTCAATGACAATAATTTGTTGCATTCTGTCAAACGGAAAGCTTGCACCAGGTACTGACCATGCTTGCAATTTCAGAAGCCTTCTTGGCTCGTCTTATCTCAGGAGTATCTGGACCAACTTGCATGCCCTTCCCTTTAATTTCAGTTTCCAGGTCTTTCTTGTATTGTTTCTGTGAAGATAAAACTTCATACATTATATTCACAATAGCCAGAGAGTTACAGGTAGACTTTTGCAAAAGAGATCCAATTTAAGATTTAGAGCCCATCAAAAATCTCAAGTTAGAAGTCACAACTCTCAAGAGTCTTGGCAAGCTTTTGTCAGGAAAACACATAGCAAACTAAAGAAGGAAAACTTGAAGAGATATACACTGAATGTACAAAACTCTATCACTGAACTTTTAATTTGGCAGAGGATGTGAGGAAATCAGTCCATACAGCTGCTACAATTATCCTCTAAAGCAAAGGTGAAGTTTAGTTCCGCAGAACATAGTGTAGTAAGCTGGTGCTTGGTGCCAGCCTAACTGAAATATATTTTACTTTTAAGAATATATTTTATTTATTAAAAGACTACATGTTAGAAATTTAATACCATATGGAATTGTTTCCAGTGAGCTTTCAGAGCAGGAAGTTGTAATTTATTCATTTAATAGGTCTTTCCTGAACCACAGCCATTGGGCAAGTGTCAGTACTCATCCATGATTGCTGCTTTTTCCTCACAACATACATTATAAATAACCATTAACCAGGAAACAACACGGACATTTTATCTTCAGCTTATCCAAGCAAGGACATATTTCTTGTTCATCAGCAAATGTTATTAAAATATAATACTGAAATATTGTGTACAATACTTTTTTTTTTTTTAATAAAAAATTAAACGATTCTCAGGTGGTGCTATTTCTCCTACTATAGCAGTAATCACTCTTTTTCTGTTCTAGTTTCTCTCTGCCTGTGGAAAACAGGTATTTTTTTCAAAATAAATACACATAATGAAAAAATTTCTTTTTACTTTTCTTGTTTGTTAATTATTTTTTAGGTTGTCCATTAGTTAGAAAGAAGAAGGAAAATAGCCTTCTATTCAATGCAATGACCTGATCACTTACAAGAACAAAAAGACTTTCAGTCTTCCATCTCTGTCTGACTGATCTGAAAATAAACATGATAAAACAACTCTCTACTTTGCAAAACACAGTTTTTTGCAAAAAGTCTAAGTTAACCTGTGAGAAGATATCATCCCTCGCTTCCTCTCTGCTAAAGATGGAATGGCAGATGTTTCCTCCCAGCTTCATATTGTGTAAAACACCAAGGAAAAAGATAAACCTGTGAGTTACAGCTATATATTCCTGTACTTCTTCACAGTGATCAGATTGGCCCTGTGTGTGGCATTCCCTATGGTTCTTATGGCTATGTATGTGTGCAAATACACATACATATACACACACATGCATATTAAATGAGTATAAAATATATAAATACATAAAATAAATATATATATTACTCTGAAAGAATGACTCCCCAAAGGCATGAAGTGCAGCACAAGCTTTGCCTTCCCCTCCCTATGCCCTCCAGCCCCACTGCTGCTTTCCAGGCAGCCTGTGCAAGCTCATCTGCAGGATCTGCAGCCGTACCAGCTTTGGAGCTTGCAGCTCTGCTGAGCACGCAGGCTTGCCAAGCACATAGGCTTCCCGAGCACATGAGTTCCTCAGGGTGGTCTTCAAGAGACAGCACACAGATCAAGGAGTCTCCCACTTCCATCCCCAGCCCTTCACAACAGAGTAGATTGCACCCTTATGTGCTTCCACATAACCTCCAGAGCAACTTAGACCAACACAGTTAACATCAAAGTTCACTTCCAAGAATGTACTCTGGAAGGAATCTCCACCTGTCTTATTTGCATTGGATGAACCACAAGCTCAAGAAAATCCATTTCTTCAGGAGTAACTCTACTTTTCGAAAAAGGTTTTCACAAGTAGAATAGTTTGTTTGGAGAAAAGATCTTCCGAAGATTCCTGGCAGTCATTATGAATATTTACTTTCAGTAGCAGGTATGTGATGCCAAAAAACTCAAAATTATTTCATTGACTTTTCTTTACAAGTCCATTAACAGTCAACTCTTTTTCCATTACAATATTAATTATACTAGCTGAACAAATAAATAGATGGAAAAATGAACCTAGTTTTAAATCCTGTATCTACTGACCCCACTAACAATTTCAATTGACCTTCTAATTGCCTGAAAATCTGAAATATCTGTCATAAGTTGGTTTTTTTTTCCAGAGCTTTTCTATAATCTTAAAGTAAAACAGAAATAGCCTTAGTTTCAATACTTATGTATTTCATTGTAGATTATGTAAAAAAATTCTGAATCTTTTCAGTCGAGTATAACATAAAGAGTGAATTTTCTGTAACATCAGTAACCTTGACTAGCACAACATACCTCATTTAGTATCTGAGCTGCATTTTTCACTCTAATCAAATCTGGTGTGTCTTCAAACACTGTCATTCCTTTTCCTTTCATGCCTTCTTCCAAATCTTTTCTATACTCTTTCTGAGGATTAAAAACAACAAAAATTTCTCCACTTAATATTGTGTGCAAGATCTTGAAAAGAAATGCCACTTATTAAATGTCTGAAGGGTCTCTTTGAAATGTCTATGAAATATGAATTAGCTGAAGTACAGGTTTCAGAGTTAAAATAGAATTTAAAATTATGAAACCGAAAGGTACAATGTTGAAAAATGAAAAGGTTTTAATGTAGCCATGTATTTTCCTGTTATGCTCTTGAAAAACAGTCCTCACCTACACAGTGCTAGCATGCTGTTAGGGGCCTCAGCTGCCTCTCTACAGATATTTTAACTGCAGTAGCATTTGCTTTACAGACCAATACATGCTGTACTGCAGTTTTTACCTCTGTTCCACTATGGCATCATGATCAGGATGGATGCCTTGAACTAAAATGTGTTAAAATGACTGCTTGATAAATTACAATGTGGAAGCAATATTCATACCATATCACTTCTGTGCCCCTCAGACACTGCACTGATACGATCTATCAACATTCAGAAACTGCAGACTCCAGAGTACACAAATGTTCAGTATAGAACTAAAAGCACACTAGAACCTGCCCAGGGATATTTGGCTCTTTTTCCCAGTTCCTAGAGAGCTGAGCTAAATCTACTGAAGATCTTTAAGTTTTAACAGATTTTTAATTGCTCTTCCCATCTCCAGGTTTGGGTTAGGCTTCTTAAAGTAAAGAAACTAGAAAAAAAAATTAAGAAAATATTTTTCAGAAGACATGAATTAATACTCCTAATCACACATTAAATTTCATAAGCAGCAGTGAGTACCTTTGTCTCTCTATATGCTCTCTATTTAAACAAAAGGAAACTAGATATTTTTAAAGAAGCTTCTCTTTATCAGAAGTGTGTCCTACAACAAGCATGAAACTACTTCTATTAATTTAGAATTATTAAATTCAGCTACTGCTTCTGAGGGAGTTGTGAACACAGTTCCAGAATAAAAAAAAGTTCTTATCTTTACAAAATGTGAAATATTTGCAGAGTCCTCTACAGTAGGAAGGCAACAGAATAAGCTGGAACACACCTGACACTTTTTAAAAAAGTAATCAAACAAATAATTCATTTTTAATAACTCCAGATTCTCCTGGAGTTATTAAATCTAGCATCCTCAATTTGTTCATCTGGGCCACAGCAAAACCATTAATTTTTAATACAATAAAGGTTAACAAGGTATTGTTGGGTCCCAAATTCAGATGGAGGATATCTAGCAGCTCTGATTTGCTTCTAAATTTGTTCAAATAGTATCTATAGAACCAACTAATACTCAAGACCTAACATGAAAACAGTTTTTAATAACACTATACAAAGACTCAAGACAGAAGGATTCTCAGTTATGGGAAAAAAGTTATCTAACTTACAATGCCACAAACAACTGAAGAACATTAGACAAATCTTAAAGAAACAGTGGGCATACAGAAAACCTGCACCTTCTAACAAAATTTGCTTAAAGCAGATTATGTAATATCACAGCTGTATCATGGAATTTTGGTCATCTTTATTTCCATCCATAATATGTATGATAGATAATTATTTCAATTAAATCAGTTACAAGTGACTACACACAGCTCGAGGCATCCGTATAACCACAACAGACTAAACCCGAAATAATTACTCAAAAGGAAAAGCTGCCATCTGGACACCAACAGAAATCCCCCTTTCCACCCCTTCATCTGTCTGGAAAGAAAATTCCAGGCCCTCTCCAAAACCCTTTCAAACAGATGTATTTTGCAGCATGCCTGGAAGGTCACCAAATCTGGGCTCTTTGAGACCAGGGGAGGAACAAATGCCAAAACTGAGGCCCTCAGAGGGAATGTCCTGCCAACGGTCCATTTTCTATGGAGTCATCTGATTTGTTCATTTCACCCTGGTTTTCTGGTTCAGGTGTGCTGAACTTTGTCACTTCCTTATGTTCGTAAGGAAACTTCAAAAAGTACCAATTCTTACTACACGACTATTCAGAATATAGAATGACACACTGCAATTTCTACTCATGAAGTCACCTTTGTATTCAGCTACAAAGTTAACTGTAAGTTGCTCAGCACTCAGTAGCTAGTAGTGATGCTGCTTATTGTTCATTTGCAACTCCACAACAAAAAAAGAAATAAAAAAAAAAAATTCAACCTCTTTCAGAAGATTAGTGACTTGCTTTATATGCAAGAACTCTGGAGTCTTGTCCAAATCCATTGACGGTCTTCCCTTGATTCCTTCTTCAAAATCTTTGCAATACATTTTCTATTGAAGCAAAACCAACAATTAATGGTACATGCATGTGCATTTCCAAGCATATTTCAGCAAGCACACTGTAAATAGACATAGAAATGAGCCTTGCCATAAATTAGTTATCACATTAATAAGTAACTTTATTACTCATTTCATTACCTAGATTATCTATACAAGACATACACAATTTAGCAAAAATACCTATTATGATATTTCCAAAGAGAATGTTTAACCTGATCTACGAAAGAAACAGTTTGCTTGGTAGATAAAGAGAAGACAAATGGCACACAAGGTAATGTTTTAAATACATAAAATACATTTCTACCAAGAGGATGAAATCATCTGTTTTCCATGACACACAGCAAAAATAATAGAATCAAACTGCAGCAAGGAAGATGCAGGGAAATACACTCTCTCTGGATGGATGGTAAAGCACTGGACTAGGTTGCTTGTGAGGTCATGAAACCTCCACCATTGAGGTTTTTAATAAAAAGTTAGGAAAATATGACCTGACATAGGATAGCCAGGGCTGTTCTGAAGCTTGAGAACAGTCCTTCCCCCTTCCTGAGCTCCCCAGGCAGAACTGGCAGGAGAACATTCCAGTTAAGGCACAGGGCCAGAGTGGGTTCTGCAGCTTCACTCACTCCCACCTGAGAACCGTCCCTCCTTAAAGATAGAATTAAAGGCAAAGGGTAAAAAAAATAATCTCTGATCTAGACGACTTCTTGAGCTTTTTCTCAACTAAATGATGATACATACAATCTCCCTCTAGTGTTAGCACCAATAGCCTTTTGAGAAAAAACAAATTTGAAGGAAAAACTGAGCTACAGAATAGCAAAGAGAACTACTCAGTACTAATTCTACCACATCCTCAATTTATAAAACCTTTACAATCTAATTCATCCATTTTTTTAACCTGAGTACAAGACGTTTGATAGTTTTGCTGTTGACCTAAATTTTGCTGCTTCAAGCACACATTTTTACTAACCTCACTTTGCATCTTTTGAGCCTCCTTTGAAACTTGATACATTGGTGTATCCACAAACTCCAGCATTGATCTGCCTTTAGATTTTTCATAACTCTCTTTGTACTTGACCTAGGAAAATTTAAAAAAAAGGCTGTTAACAGCTGAGAAAATGTGAGATCTGACTGCCTGACATGGTGACAGACAGATCCTGTCTTAGCCATACTCCTCAGAGGTTTTGACTTGGAAGACTTCTCCCAAATGTAACCTGTTGGAGAAACAGGGCAGCCAGACAAGGAATTTTTTTCTGCAGTCTTTTATTCCTTCACTTCAAAATGTCAGAACTAAAAATGGTGAACTTTGAAGACAGCAGGAGTGAAGAGCATCACAATCCTTAAACTAATTGCATGATTTTGGCTGAATGACCTGTGTCAGAACAGCTGGCAGCTTTTCAATAGGATCCCCTGTCATGTTTCCATTAAACAACACATTTACTGTAACAACAACAAAATCTGTTTCACAGGCAGGCCCCACAGGTCTCTCTTTCAGGCTCAGGAGCACCATTCTGAAATGCACTTTTGTTTGTACCTGTGGGAGGGAAGAGGAAAGGAAAACTACTGTCTCAGTGAGGTCCAGTCTTGCCAACATTCCCCTCACAGCAACCAAAGACCACAACCTTAGAGCTAGCACCAAAATCACATTGAAGGACACAGGGTTAAGACACCAACATATAACTTCATGCAAACTCACAAAGCAAATACACTTTGTTTGGAAACCTGGAGAAGCCTTCTGAACTCATTCATTCACATGCTTTTGATTAAGATGGGCAAGCACATTACTTAATCAATCAGTGTCGCGTATGATGGAATATTCTACACAAGCCATACAGGAAAGCAAATAGCTACATATCAAAATATGATATTCAGCATAAGTAATGTCAATTTATTTGTCTCTTCAAAAATAGCGATGTCTGAATTTGAGAAAAGTGTTAAGAATCCCTTTCCCTGCCAGGCTTCTGCACTAGGTTCACGTCCTGCAAAAACACTCTCCTCTTTGCTCATGGGGTGCTTCCGACTGAATATGCACTGTACATCACCATAATATTTAATGCAGTTTTGTGCCTAATTTAATCACTGTTAGAATGCTGCATTTTTCTCTTCACAAGATGTATTTATAATTGCGTATACCTAGCTTTCAAGCACTGCATTTTCTTTGTGATGGATTTGTTCAGCTGTCTCTGGGGTGAAATCATAGAAGCCCTTGCTTTGCTTAAATGATCTCTTATACTCAGTAATACTGAAACAGAAAATATCCAAGAATGTTTTCACAAACAAAATCCAGAAGGTTTTGCAATTTAAATACCATTTAAAATAACTATGGGAGAAACAGCATAAAAGAAACTATATTTTAGGCCTCCCAACTAAGGAATTCTACTGCTAAATTTGAATTTTAAATACTGGGATGAAATTTTTTAAAAAAAGGATATGATAAAAAATGATCTTCGTTAGTTCCTAGAGAAAGTGCTTGTCCTGCTCATCCAAAAGTCAACTATTTATGTTCACTAGAATAAAACATTATTTACATTTGATGTGCAAAGGAACACATACAATGGTCTGGGTTTGCCTCCTAGTGGAAATAAATATCACACAACAACATCAGTCCTGTCATAGAAACAAACAAAATTATCTCGATGTACATATACTGACCTCATACTTTTACTACACTCCTCAACTTTTGGGACAAAATTTAAAAAAACCAAAATTCTATAAAATCAAATTAAGTAAATCACATAACCTTTTGCTACATAAAAATACAGGTACCAGATTAAGTCTCTTAAGTCTTATTTATTCACCATGTTCCATAAAATGAAACACATCTAAGTTTCTTTTTTTTTTAGTTTATAGTTCATTAGCATCTCAAAGTCTCTACAATTGGAACAGATTTAAAATGTGCAAAACAATAAACTAGCTGTTGTACATATATTGAAGTTTTATGTCTCCACAGTTCATGCCAAAGGGAATTACATGTATACCATATGAGGGGAAAGTTCCACCTTGTGAACTCTTCTTCATCAAAATAATGAAAATGGGATGAGTTCAACCTGTCAAAATCAGTTTATTTGTGTCCAAACATGCCCACCAAGCTTTCCTCTTAACTGTTGAAATTTATTCCCATGGAAGCCAACCTGTACAACAGCTTTGCACCGGTATTATAGTATATGTGTTTCATGAAGTTGCACGTACTTCTGCACTCTAGGTCAATCAGCAAACCAATTCAATCGCCCATATTAGTTTACGAGTTTAATTAACCATACAGGTTACAATGTATAACGCTGGGGCAGGTTATGTTATGCAAAAGATCAATAGAAGCACAAAGTTCAAGGGAGAAAGGCATACTATAGGGAAAAAGCAAAACCGGGCAACTAGCAACAAGCTCTGTGTTTCAGAGGGAAAAAAACAGACCATGCAGTCAGTCTTTGGAAATCGGGTAACGGCACAGTCAAGAAGAGTGTTTCACACAGTGGAAGAAAGACTTTAAGATTTGGTGCTGTGGAGAGGCAGGGAAAACTCTTAGAAAGTCCTCAAGAAGCATGGAGAAAGGCAGGAGATGTGCAATTCTTACCCAGTATATTAGTTTTTCTAGTAACTGAAGTATCTCTCCCTAAAAACCCTTTTCCTTCACTATATGCCCTAACTACAATGGTTACAACACAACAGCCTATTACATATGAGACCATGAAGCAAGTACCAAAAATTTATGTATTCTACAGTGACTATATATACTACATTCCTTACAACACATATTTTTCACATCATTCTTAAAAAGGCAACTTACCTCACTATGTGTTTTGCTGATATTTAAAGCATGGTTTAAATATAGCAGGTTTGGTAGATCAGAGGCTGGATCATGTAGGCTTTCCAAATCTTTCTTGTAATTCACCTGGAAAGATAATTCAGGTTATGTAAAATAAAGATGAACAAAATAATTCACAGCTTCATATTACACTGTGTGGGAAAACGACTGGGGGGAAATTAGTTTCTGTAAACCAATGTTTAAAATCTGCAGGGTAAGGTAAAACACAGTTACTACTTTCTGGAACAAAGGCGTGGCTGGCATGCAAAGAACCCACTCTGCAGTGGCTGCCCCAGCAACACATCCTGCTATGTTGGCACATGCTTAAGAACAGAAGCCAGGGTTGGAGTGGAACGAAGGTTCCGTGGCCATGCCCCACTGCACTTCTTGCAGGAGATGGGGACACGATGGTACTACGAGCCAGTAAGCCACATAGCAAGCTGTCCAATAAGAAAGATGCCATTACTGTGCCAGCAACTGTGGCAAAATCGTTCTCCTGAGATGAACCTTGTTCATTATAATGTCATTACAATACCAAAACACACCTCCGTCCCAAAGCAACCCACGTCTGAGGCACAACCACTCCTCACTGAGCACGCGCTCTCTATTTTATTGACTATACCTTTAAGAGTGAAGCGAGAGAATTTTACACCAGTCAGTAATAAAGGTATTTATGACTAAAGTCACTGAAGCTCCACCTAAATACAAAGAAACAGTATAGAAATAGATTGATGAGGGGAGAAAGTTAGGGAAGACTCCATCACAACTTTTGGTATCAGCCAACAGGTTGAATCTGTCTTCTCCCCTATAAGGGATGCCTATTGGGTAAGAACCTCTTTTTATGCACATTAATCTATTTACACTAGCAGTGACTAACAACTAAAGTTTGATTACATATTGTTCTTGCAGTCAGTCTACTATCAACAGCAATCTCTGAACCTTAACTGGCACAATCTATATTTTGTACAATAAGATTTGCTTTGCACAAGTTTCCAGAAACTTGAATAATTGTAATAAGGTATTTGACTCAGTGATGCTGTGTCCTGGGTTCAGCTGAGACAGAGTTAACTTTCTTCACAGTAGCTAGTAAGAGGCTGTATTTTGGATTTGTGCTAAGAAGAAAACTGGCAACAGTGATGTTTATAGTTGTTGCCAGAACAGTCTAAGGTCTTCTCAGTTTCTCTGCTGTGCCAGTGTCTGCAGGTGCCGGAGAAGCTGGGAGGGAGCACAGCCCCAGTTACTAGCCTAGGATTTGACCTTAGGTTTAGGATTGAGACCCAAAGTGGCCAATGGTATATTCCATATCATGCATGTCATGCCCAGTACATAGGTGAGAACTCTCCAGAAGCTTGGCCCTTTTTTACTCCAGACAATCTCTGCCTCCGGGTCAGCCTTCTTTCTGGGTCAGCTCTCTCCAGGTGATCCCTCTCCCAGGGCTGTCTCCCTCCCTTGGTCAACTCTCAGTCTGGGATGCTCAGGCTCTTATCTCCATTCTGGGAGTGCAGTTTCGGGACTCTCTCTGCTCAGGGATCATTAGCTGGGAATGGGCTGAGCCTTGGTCATGGGGTGGTGAGAGTATCACTGTGTATCACTCATTTGTATATTTGTATATATTACCATTATTATCATAATTGCTATTATTTCCAATATTATTGTAGCTTAGCTATTAAATTGTTCTTACCTCAACCCACGAGTCTTTTTTTCCCTTTGCCCCTTTAATTCTCTCCCCCATCCCGGGAGGGGGAAGGGTGAGGGAGTGGCTGTATGGAGTTGGCTCTCAGCCAGGGTAAACCCATCACAGGCTGTCAGTGTGGGTCCTGGAACAGGTTAACCCAATCGTCCTCTGATACAGTGGGCTGTTTGGTAGGGTGCCCATACGGGATGCCGGCAGGCTGTATGGGCATAAGGGCTTCGATTTTTTTGAGAAACTGACAGGTTGATCAAATATAAAGGATTCGAGGAAACCCCCCTTCTTAGCGTGACACAGTGTGGCCGTCCAGAAGAAAAAAAGCATAGTGCTTGCCTGAACAATCTCTGCCAACCACTAGATGGTGATCATTTACTATTATTTGGAGGAAAAGGAAAAATCAATAAAGTATTCATTCTACTGAGCAAATATTTGGAAACTACTCAAACTTTTCCTCAAAAAGGACACTTACAACAAAATCACACTTTGTATGACTTTTCAGACTAGAAAGGAATTATTTTTTTTCTTTTTTTCCCCAAAAAAACTTAAGAGTATCTTCTTCAACACTTCACTTTTACTCATTTTAAACACTGTTGATTCTTGGTCTTTTTCTCCTGATTCAGAAATAACACTAACTGTCCAAATAAAAAAATTTTATATAAAACAGTTAAAGGGAAGTCCTCTCGGCCATTTTATTTAATACAGACTGCTTTCAGCAAAGAAAAGCAATATAGTCACCTAAGGCAAAAGATAATCACTTAATGAAGTCACAGAAGATAACTTCCAATCAGCCTATGGTGGGATTTTCCATACTTCTGATAGCTGGATGCCCATCTTTACAGGAAGAAGACTAGCCACCTTGCCTATCTTAAATTACAAATCTTTTAAACAAATACCTTTAGTCACTTCCACATACTTATCATGTTCTTCACTGATTTAGGCAGACCACAAATCAACAATACTCAATTTGCATATCTCTTATAATAATAATTACTTCAATTAAGTTTTTACTAAACATTTAGGTTTTGGAAACAATTCCATATTCTGTTGGACCCTTCCCAGTGGTGTCCTCTCCTGTTCCCGTTGGGTGGTGCCTCACACTTTGGAAACACTAGACTACGGAACGAAGGGCTGGCTCTTGGCTGTCTGGGATCACGACCTCAAAGAGCTCACATTTTTAGCATTAGACACTCTGTTAAATATACAATCACAACAGCATTATCACTAGATATAGATGTCTTCTCCAATCCGGCTCCAGCAGCAAGCACCCATTGCTGAATCTAGTAACTGCTGTACTTCGCAATATGGTTCAGATGATCAACTGGCAGAAAGAACTCTAAAAGACAGATATCCAAATCTCAGCTGCTCATGCAACCTCCTTCTACAACCACTGGAGAGATGCCAGCATTTCATTCCTCTAAAGACTGGCATCTACAACAGGTCAGAAGAATTGCCCTCTAAGAGCTGTTTATTTCTTTCCCAAATACAAAGGGACTGACTGTAAGGCAATTAGCTCAGCATAAGCAGCCATACCTTTTGACACACAAAGTTAACTGAGATGAATCTCATCTAAAATGGTTACAAAAAATTCTGCAGGCCCTTGGAGAAGGGCTTTGTCAGAAGCAGAGGAAGAAATGGATAACACACTGCATAGCAGAGACTGTTGCTCAGAATAATTCGTAGGATGGAAAAAGAAATTGTACTCTAGAACAAATGATACATTTTTCAGGATGTAAATACATCTAAAATACAAAGCAAATTTACTCACATCACTTGCCAAGGTGGATGCAACCTGTGCTTGCTTGAAGGAAGCACTGTCAAGAGGATTGTATTGGTGGCTCTTCATTTCCTTATTGAACTGCTCTTTGTATTTCACCTTCCAGCAGAACAAACATATGTAATATTAACATATAGCACTTCAAGAAGGCACAGAGAATTCAGACTACAAAGGAGCCTATTAAAGGTAATTGCCTTATCCATAAATCTTTAAACAATGAAGATGTTTAAAGAAGCTCAGGTTAGCCACACCTGTGACTGTCTTGTGCTGGTTTCAAAGTAATTTTTATTAATCTGAATTTTACTGAAACAGAAAAATAATTTTAAGATTCTCATTTGCGATTACTGGTGCTGAAGGATTTATAAAAAGGAAGCAGAAACAAGACCATATGACTCACCTGAGTAATCAAATAAACCAGAACTGTTTGACTAGCAATAATAATCTACTCACTGAGAATCATTCAATTCATAATTAACATCAAATATGTGTTTTCATCAAAAAAAGCAATTGATAACATGAGCAAGTTGTAAAAATTATAAAATAAATAACTTGTAAATTTTTCAACTACTTGAAAGTGGTAAGTCAGAATCCAACTTCCCACTCAGCCACCTTCCCACCTCCAGGTCCACATGTCACTCATGCTGTGCTAGGCTGTCACCAGCACCCCCAGGTCTATTTTCAATTCCGCCAGAAATTTCCGAAGAGATCCCTTGGAATCTCTCTGTAGTACTGTGCTTTCTTGGGGACAACGCCCACCTCATTACAGTGTTAGAAGGCATAATTAAATGACTGTCTGCCACCGCTTTCACTCTCTTTTCTTCTTGTTCAAAAGAAAAAAGGGAGCAAGAAGACATATAAGAGGAAATGAGCAATACATAAATGTTGAGGCAATGGCACTAGAAGTAAATAAGTCACAAAAATTCCATAAAACACACTGAAGAACTGAATTCAGAATCTGAAAAAAATGAAATCAAACAAATAGTAAATCTCCCTCCTTTGCCCCCCTTCTTGTGTGTGATCATCAAACATCTGGAGACTTTGCACACATGCCTTGCTTCTTTCCAACAGCTGGGCATAATGGAGGAGAATAAAGTTCCGTCTGAATTATGCTGCTTTCATGAATGTTAATCAGACACCTGATATCTGAAACTATGCAACATCCATTATCATTTAACACACTCTGCACTAAATAAATACGCAGCTTTTTCCTTACTCCTTTTTTCTCTATTCCCACATGAATGTCTAATAAAGTGGTTAAACCACCTCAATCTTCAAAAATTATTTTTTTCTCAGCTTTAGTTATGGGAAAAATTTTCTTTTTCCTCTTTAGCTTTTCCTTGCCTCAAAAGGTTCTTAACATGGTTTAGCTTACACAACCACATTATGTTTAGCCACGATGCCCAATATTTCATTAATCAGGATAACAAGAAACCAAAACTAAGCCACCCAAACAGAAACTGTGTATGTTCAAGAACTACATTATGATTCCAGCACTTATGTTAATTTTTCACAGTAAGGAAATTCTAAAACATTGTCACTTTTAAAGAGAAACTTTATCTGAACACATGATGAACTTCATAATCTTTGACACCATCTCTAGAACAGAATATCTATTGCCTTCTGGTAGATTCATCTGGTTCATATTGTTTGGTATTTGCCTTGGCTTTGGATCAAGTGCAAAAGCATATATCTAAATACAAAGACATTGACTTTGTCAAAGGTAAATCCACATTCTGTACGAGCAGTGAAGGAATAAATCAGAGGACTTTTCTCTTTTAAAAGGTGTATCCAAAACTTGTCTTCTAACAAAAATCAGGCAGTGCTGGAATATGTGATTTTAAAAGCCTCTGAAACCAAGGATCAAGTCAGCATGGTGCGTTAAATTGTCTTTTACTCCCTGGGCATCAGCTCACATCTTAACAACATCGTGCACAAGAGTTTAAATATTCAACTACTGCAGGCTGTCTTCTGCCCAGTCAACAAATGGCTTCAAACTGTGCATGCGGACTGAATACACAACATGGCCCTCGGTATTTCTGTTAACTGTGGAAACGTCAGTGCCAAAGAAATCTCTCCTCACAAATGGTTTGCCATTTTCCAGCTGCAGCTGCTTCATGCCACTTTCTAAAAGATTTTTTTTAGCAATACATTTCATTGTGGAGATTCCAGTAATAAAACCCCGTTAGCATCACTTC